AAATGAGGATAAAGTCAAGAATGAAAAAAATTATTGCTCATGCGAAGTGTCCTTATGAAATGCTGTCAATTACGTAATAAAGCGAAACGTCAGTGCGTAGTAGGGAGTGCCACTACGTAATGTAACGTGTCAATGCGTTATATGAAGTGTCTTTCTGTTTGCCTTCGAGAATTTTCTGTGACGGGTAGACATTTGAGGAGAAATGAGTGTTGCATTTTCCTGTAGTCGTATTGTTTATTTTATATGAGACGGAAGGAAGGAAATATATGAAAAAGACAAGACATTGTAAATACGAGGTTAATTATTGATATTACTTTAGGATTAAGAACCATTATTTGCAAAATCATAACAACTTTTTTGTATGGTAAGTCATGTATCTTTTATTTTATTTTTGTAGGTGCTATGACTGATATGCATTTATGATGAAATATGAAGTGAATCGAAGAGAAATTAGTAATCAGTATAAAAGGAGGTGGACTTGGAATGCAGCGAAAAAAAAAAAAAAAAAATGGCGACCAACACAAAAAAGTGATTGTCGTGTTCGTTAATAAGTGTTCGCTAAATGGTGTTCGCAAACTGCCATTGTCGCTAAGAAGTTGGACCTGTTAACGGAATATTGATGAAAAGAAATGTTTGTACACTGTGATGTCTATGTTTTCTACCGCTAATAACTGATGTTTGTGGTATGGATCTGTTACTGTTAAGTGTTTGTTAAATACTGACATATTTTGGTAATATAGTGTTCGTTACCTGGTGTTAACTATAAACATAAACCCTATAATGTTTATGTCAATCTCTGATAGTCTGGCACGAAGGTAATTTATAAACAGGTAAGGGAATCAAATGCATTATAATAGTTTAATAACAGTAATTTATATTATGAGTATATTTATATTCACTGTAAATGGAAGTTTTGTATTTGGTTAATATGCTGTAAGTCAGTATTCTTAATTACATCATGGCCGATCATGATATGAAGTAAAAGACAAGTATGAAACAATATGACAAATGCAATGTTTGTCTGAAGATTGAGGAAACAATGAAAAAGACAAAGAGAAGAAGGAGATGGGGGAGAAAGAGAGGGACGATGAAGAGGGAGAGGAAGATGGGGAGAGAGTGAGAGTGAGAGCGCGCGCGCGCGCGCGTGTGTGTGTGTGTGTGTGTGTATGTGTGTGTGTGCGTGTGTGAAAGACTGAGAAAGACAGCAAGAGAAGAGAAAGACTTCGAATAGAGAAAAAGAGTGAGTACAAAAGACATAAAAAATATACATAAAAACAAAAGAAAGATAAAAAAAACTAAATAAAGAAGGAAAGATAGAAAGTTAAAACACAAACTAAACAAGTTCAAAGGAAGTTTCCAAACCCACGCGAAAATGCAGTATTAACTCGACTTACTCGCTTTTGTTTACATCGTGCACAGCTGATCATAGAAAACGGAGTGTTTTGTTTACATTTTGCATCGTCTGCCATTTTTTCCGACATGTTCTGTTCATGTTTCCAATTTATTACCAGTGTATCTCGTCCATGATCTGTATATATGTGTATGATACGACGGGAGAAATAATGTGCAATTTTTTGTCGTCTCCTATGTACTGTTCGTTAATGAAACAGAATAAAAAAGACAGGTTTTGTATAGATATGATTATTAATGGAAATTCCTGTTTGTGCAAAGTTGATACGTTGCATGGTATCTAACCTTTATTTATATAGTCGTTTTGCTAATGATGATAATGCAGTGATGATAGGGACAATGATAAATGAAGATTATGATAAAAAATATATATAATAATGATAATAGTAATGATGATGGTGATAATGACAGTGATGAAAATAACAGTAATAATAATGATGACAATAACAATAATGATGTTGATAATTATCTGACAGTAATAGTAGTAGAATGATGCTGGTACTGATAACGATAATGATAATAATAATCATGAGAATGATATTGATAGTGATACAGATAATAGTAAAGATGATAATGATACT